ACAAAAATTATTCAATAACATATCCCCTGCAAATCAAGAAATAAATAAATTTTAGTACATGGAGAATATGTATGACAAAACTAATTTAGTCTAAATAGTTACAAATAATACAGCCATGGAATCTAATCCACCTGTTAGGTATATATTCTACCTACAAAAAATTAGAGTTCAGAAGGAAGAGAAGTATTCAGATCATACCAGGATTTTTGGCTTCTTCTATGGGCACCTGAGCGTGGGTTATGGTTAGCAATACAGTTTTGACACTGATCGGAAGCTCCAAGCGTAAATGCATTTACTTAAAAGTTAATGTAACAACTAGTAGAACAGATATATGGAGTAGAAAGTTACAACTAACTTCAAAGAAGAATGAGAAATGCAGTGTAGCTCTCTGCCCAGGTAAATTAATAAAGGGGCAATGATGAATGCATAGCATTTTATCTGATCCATCTTACCCTTTGCCTCATGAAGCATTCACTTTATCCTTCCTCCTGTTTAAGGAGATAACCCAAATGTTTATTCAATCATTGAATCTAGTTCAAAGTCCAGGATCTCCAGAGGATTCTTCTTCTGCATCAAGTTTGCTTGTAACTCCCAAGTCACTGGGCCAGTGACTTAGGACTAAAAACTATGTTATCTTCTCTCTTTCATACACAGTGGCGGAGAAAACTGAGAAGATCCATAACAAACATTTCCATTGTGAAAAGACAAGTCACTTGGTCATAAGACTGATGAAAGGTAGCTGGACAGGCTTTGTGAAGACCACCTCCTTGGCTGGAGGGAAAGTTTTTTGGAAAGATTTTCATTGTTCTCTCTCACCTTTCTGAAGTGGGTAGGGGTACACATATCCCAACAAATGTTAGGAGTCACTATAAAGTTATATAATAACTACACTCTTATATTAATACTTCAGGAATAGGACAGAAACACAAATTACCACAAACAAAATAAAATAGCAGAAGAAAATCAGAGAATCTCCCATATATATGGGAATCTCGCATGTATAAAAATAAACATTTAACAAAAGTTGTGATTATAAAAAAAGTAGTAATAACAAATAAACCTATATAATGCCATAGCTTTAAAACATTGTATGTGTATTAAATACCTGCATATGAAAAAAGTCAAAATTTCAATAGAAACCACAGGCCAATAGATTATAAAGATTATAACAGAGAGAGTTAAGAAATCCTTGAACAAAATACAAACCATGCAAAATTGAGGCAGAAGATTGACATAATTGACTATATTAACTATACTGTATGATAAAAGTAGCCATAAAGTTGAAAAATAAATTACGCTTATATTTTTGGCAACTTATATCTACAACACTAGCTTGGTGTCTGAAACAAAGAATCCTAAAAGTTGGTGAGAAAATTTAAAAGACAAGCTACAACATGCAAACGTCCCAAAGATGGAGTTATAGAATGGCAAATAAATATATTAATGCTGTTCCAACAACTAGACAAGAAAACATATTTTTAAATAGAGAATAAGTGTCATGTTTTAAGAACATCTGAATGGCAGTCAAAAATACATAGGGTATAGGAAGTGTTGCTGAGGATTCAGAATAATGGTACTCCCACAGGGTATTGGAAGACATATCAATTGGTGGCAACTTTTAGGAAGGATTTGCCCATTATTATTAATTACACAGGTATGTTAAAATTTCTATGCAAGAATGTTTACTGCTTCACTGATTATAATATCCAAAATTAGAAAGTAATCTAAATATTGTCAGTAAACATGTGATTTACTTAATTATTTTACACCCAGCAAATAGATTTTTAAGAAGTTATTAAAATATGTATGGGCTTATATCCACCACTAGAAAGACCTTAAGTCATATTCTTAAATGAGAAAAAAAAGATATGTTGCAGAAAATCTCATATGAAATAATTTCTTCAATGTAAGTTCACCTCCACTTACAAATGTGTTGTGTATATAGTTATATAGGTATGTATACCTAAAAAGACATGCCTGATTTGGTGACAAGTAGTTGAAATCTGATAAGGGGGATGCGGTGTATGAAAAAATACCATTTTATATGTTTCTCTAGAAGTATTCCCACAAACCTGGATGACCACCATCTTCACAATTAACTCAGTAGGACTATAAAACGATATACATCATCCAGGATGAAGTTATTTTCCTGAAAATCATGGGAAACACATTTCTTCCCCATACAGTTGCAGGTGTCACAGGAGTCCTAATCCACTCCGCCCTTTATTTATGCCTCCTGTTGAGAACGTCCAATCTGATCTGTGATATTGGTGAGAACTTAGCATCTATTGAGACTTGTTATAAGAGTGCAAGAAGCCTGGAATTTGGCCACATGGAAAACCTAGCTATTCGTGTGAGGTGCACTCTTTCTTTCTCAGAGTCCCCAGGTATCTTGCAATTTGGCCATTATCAGATATCTTAAAACAAAGCCAATAATATCCTCATTGGCACATATTATCTATTTTCTTCTAGAAGTAGAATCAGGAAGGCAGCATTTAACTATATAAAGGTAAGAAAAAATAAAAGAAGCTCAAATAAAATAGAAAAAAAAGATATAATAATTATAACATCAGAAATTAATGACAAAAATAATTTATAAATAAGGCTTAATGTTTTTATTTTTTTAAAGCCCAGTAAAATGCATAAAAATTTGACAGGTCAGTCAAGTAAACAAAGACCCACAAACAGGCATATACCAAACATACACAAATTAAAGAAATATTAGAAAAATAATTTTAAATGCTATTATAGGTAAATACACTTGCAAATCATGATTACACAAATATAAAAAAATTAAATAGTGAACTTGCCTTTGGAGTTAATACTGAGGCAAAATTAATATAGAGAGTTCATTTGGACCAAGGGTGAGGACAGCTTTCTAGGTCATACTTTCAAGCTGCATTGGGGAATGCACCGTTCAGCTTTTGGTACAAGCATATTTTTAAAGGTAAAAGGTGATAAAGAGTGGGCTGATACAAAGCTGTTTGACAGAAATTTTCACTGGTCTATAGAATTCAGATTGGTGAGTATTTAGCTATACATTGTTGAACTAAAGGCTGTAAGTTATTGTGTCCAGCTAATGGCGTTTTATGGTGATTTGGCACCAGTTAGTCTATAGCCCACTTAGGAAATGGTTTCAAATTGTAATTATTTAGCTCAAGCAGGGAGTAAAATGTGACTGCTGTTTCCTTTCAATTTCTCTCTGGACTTGATAATTAAAGGGAATTCACATTCCTCAGATAAAAAGTTTCTTTTCTTTCCCATTCTTCCCTTTTGATCAAAAACCCTTTTTTTGATAGCATTAATGATCAAAGTCTGAGTGTCAATAGGTCCTTCGTCACCAAAGAGGCTTTTTCTTCAATAGCACTGTATCAAATCAGAGGGAAGTAGGAGGCATTTCAGTGAAAAAATTTAAGAGCATCCAAAAGCTGAATTGGGATGACATCACTAAGTGGCAAAGAAACGAGTCTTCAGTCAAGTCATTGATTTATGTAGCTGCTGTTGCTTGTTAAATACTCTTTAATCTTTGGAATACCATGATTTTCTTGGAATAAGTAAAATAATAATAGATACATAGCATAAACCATTTGAATAGTAGAAACATAATGTACACAAGGATTATAATTAAAGAAGGAATTTGTGGCCAGGCATGGTGGCTCACACCCGTAATCCCAGCACTTTGGGAGGCCAAGGTGAGCAGATCATGAGGTCAGGAGATCGAGACCATCTTGGCTAACATGGTGAAACCCGTCTCTACTAAAAATAAAAAAAAAAGGCCAAGGTGAGCAGATCATGAGGTCAGGAGATCGAGACCATCTTGGCTAACATGGTGAAACCCGTCTCTACTAAAAATTAAAAAAAAGAAAAAGAAAAGAAAAATTAGCCAAGTGTGGTGGCACATGCCTGTAGTCCCAGCTACTCAGGAGGCTAAGGCAGGAGAATCACTTGAACCCAGGAGGCGGAGGTTGCAATGAGCTGAGATCATACCATTGCACTCCAGCCTAGGCAACAGAGCAAGACTCTGTCTCAAAAAAAAAATAAAATAAAAAAAAAATAATGTACGCCAGAACAATAGCAACAAAAATCAGCAATGACAAAAAAAGATTCCAACTAAAAATGTCATTTAAAAAATTAAAACTCAGTTCTTCTTTACAAGCTTTTACCCAAGAAATAATTCAGGATTCAGTTTAAATTGTAAACAAATAATAAAAACTCAAAACCAATGGTCAGAGCTAGAGTCTAGTAAGAAGTGTCTTACTAAAACATGTTTTTTCTCTCTCCAGTCACTCTGATTTTACTAAATACAAATAATAGTAGAAAGAATTTGTTTGTCAAATAAGTATTAGCCTTTATTTCACTTGGCCTGATTACCTACAGAAAGCACAGCAAGAAAAGTGATCACATAGACTCCTTTTACTTGGCTTGGCTGGAACTTTTTCATCGGAGATTTCAGATCATAACTTTAAAAGTCTCTTAAAGCTAGGAAGTCGAGCCAAAAATTTATCATCAGACGGGATCTATAGTGCTCGTGCAAATTAGGTCAATTTCTCTCTTCTCAAGGTCTCAAAATATCTTGAGGTTCCTGGGCCTGTCAGGAACCTTTGATTTTTGATCAAAAGGGAAGAATGAGAAAGAAAAGAAACTTTTTATCTGAGGAAACTTTGCATATTGCAAGATCTGGATCCGTGTAAGGGAACCATGTATACCAACCAAGTACCAGACCAGCATTTTTCCAAGTCTATTAGCTTTATAAAGTCAGCCTCGATCCCTCAAACCAGCTTGGTCATATCTAAAAATTAGCCATTTCATTCAAAATATTGATAAAAGAAAGAATGTTTCGATGTTTCAGATTACAAAAAAAACACTATTCTTATTGAACTTATGCAAATAACTATGTTGCCAGAAAATGGCAATACTAATAAATAGTTTCTGTATTCTAGAGAATTCAGATAGAGAGGAAGAAATGTTTTAATTTTACTCACAAACATATTTTACTCAATTGCTGTAAGTGATCAATAGCTCAAAAAAAAAGTTGTCTTTATTCTGGAAAACAAAATATTAAAATAATCAGCAATGTTTCAAACAAAAAGTCATAAGATATTATTTCAGCCTATCAGTTCAGACCCATGTAATTAATTCTTGTTCTGCTTGACTCTGGGTTAGCAATCTTCATGAACACATCAGTTTTTTATTAGCATTTTCAAAGTAGATTGGTGCAAAAGTAATTGCAGTTTTGGACCATGAATTTTAAATCATTAAAACTAGGCTTAAACATATCTTTATTAATCAAAATAGGAACCATTACAATCAACACATTTTTGCCAGTGAGAAATAAGTGTTTATTCTTGTAGCATATAAAAATATATGCTTCAGGATTTGACTAATTCTTGGAAAGCATTTTCTGCATCCCACTGGTTGTGCAGGCATTTTCCCTGCAAAAGTTGTTGAGATGCTTGAAGAAGTTGTAGTAGGCCGGCAAGAAATCAGGCGAATATGGCGGATGAGGCAAAACCTCCTGGCCCAACTCATTTAAATTTTGGAGCATTGGTTGTGCAATGTGTGGTCAGGAGTTTTTGGAGAAGAATTGGGCCCTTTCTGTTGACTGATGCCAGTTGCAAGTGCTATAATTTTCAATGTATCTCATATATTTGCTGAGTCTACCTCTCAGATGTAATGGTTTCACTGTGATTTAGAAAGCTGTAGTGGATCAGACCAGCAGCTGACCACCAAACAGTGACTGTAAACTTTTTTGGATACAGGTTTGGCTTTGAAGCTTCTTATCAGTCCAGCCACTGAGCTGGTCATTACTAGTTGTCACATAAAATACACTTTTCATTACCTGTTACAATCCAATCAAGAAATGGTCCATTGTTTCTACGTACGATAAGAGAACACCACACTTCAAAACAGTAATTTTTTTATTTTCACTGAGCTCATGAGACACCCACTTATCAAGCCTTTTCACCTTTCCAATTTGCTTTAAGTGTTGAATGACCATAGAATGGTGGACGCTGAGGTCTTTGGCAACTTCTTATGTAGTTGTAAGAGAATCAGCCTCGACGACTGCTCCCAACTGGTTACTATCCACTTCCGATGGCAGGCCACTATGCTCCTCAGCTTGAAGACTCTCAACTGTTTTACAAAACTTCTTAAAATGCCACTGCAATGTATGTTCTTAGTAGCTCCTGGCCTAAATGAGTTGTTGATGTTGCAAGTTGGCTCTGCTGCTTTACGACCCATTTTGAACTAAAATAAGAAAATTGTTCAAATTTGCTTTTTGTGTAACATCATTTCCATAGTCCAAACATAAAATAAACAGCAAGAAGTAAGTCATTAGCAAAACATATAAAGCAAGAAATGCCCATTAAAATGATGTATAACATAACCACATTTATTTAAGAATGTATTCCAATATCAAACAGCAAATTCCAACAATGCAAAAACCACAAATCTTTTTCACTCACCTAATAATTCAGTCATATGATTTCCGAAGTTATCGGATACCTGCATTCAAGAATACTTGTCAGGGTCCTTTAATAAATTTCCCTGAAGATACAATCCTTTAGGATTTGCAAAAAGCTTTTAGTAAAGAGCCACAGAATAAAGCAATTTACTGCATATATCAAGACATGTCCATTTTTTTGGAATTTTATGTGCTTTTGGAACACATAACATGTCTATACTGTTATTTGATAATATTTTATTTTTTGATAATGCTTCCCATAAGATATTAACATAGCAAATAAGACTAATATGTCTCCCTTAGATTTCCAGGGCCCTATTTGGGCCTACAGGAGCCCTAATATCCAAAAGTTAGTTTGAAGTGAAAAAGACTTAATTTAAAAGCTGGAATTTGATTTGGAGAAGTTTGCCAAGTATTAAAGATTTAAAATACTTTATCAAAATAAGATCATAGGTCACTGTAAAGTAAGCCATTCACTTTAGCTAAAGCAATTATTCAAGGACCCAATAAAGCAAAATCCCTTACAATAGGAAAGAGAGGAAACTCAGTTTTCCAAACAATCCAAAAAATCTGAATAAAGACAGCATGAAAGAAAATCATAATCTGTCGTTCTCTTCTCTCTCTGCTTTGTTTTTGGAGTTTACTCAAATGGCAAATAACATGTTTTACTGTTTCTTATTAATACTATCCTAAAATCTTGTCCAAAGGAAAAAAAAGAAATTTTACATTTGCATTAGTGCGTTATTAATATAAAACTTAATTTTCATAACCTTTAGACAGATTCATCCTTCAATCAGATTTACCATACAAGATAAGATTTCTTTTTTTCTTTTTTTGTTTTTTGAGACAGTCTCACTGTGTCACCCAGGCTAGAATGCAATGGCATGGTCTCTGCTCCCTCCAACCTCTGCCTCCCGGGTTCAAGCTATTCTGCTTCAGCTTCCCAAGTAGCTGGGACTACAGGCATGTGCCATTACACCCAGCTAATTTCTGTATTTTTATTAGAGATGGGGTTTCATTATATTGGCCAGGCTGATTTCAAACTCCTGACCTCGTGTTCCACTCGCCTCAGCCTCCCAAAGTGCTGGGATTACACGTGTGGGCCATCATGCCTGGCCGCAAGATAAGATTTCTGCAAACATTTTATGTAACCTCTTACAATTTTTATAATTTTTCTCAACTTTCTGTGTCTATTTAGTTTTATCTGTCATTCTTTTTTCTTTAATTAATTAATTTATTTATTGAGACAGAGTCTCACTCTTTTGCCCAGGCTAGAGTACAGTGGCATGACCTCAGCTTCCTGCAACCTCTGCCTCCTGGTGCAAGCTATCCTTCTGCCTCAGCCACCCAAGTAGCTGGAATTACAGGTAGCTGCCACCATGCCCAGCTAATTTCTGTATTTTTAGTAGAGGCAGGTTTTGCCATGCTGGCCAGGCTGGTCTGGAACTCCTGACCTCAAATGATCCACCCATCTTGGTCTCCCAAAGTGCTAGAATTACAGGTGTGAGCCACGGTGCCCAGCCCTTTTTATTAAATTTAAAGTAGCCTTAAATAACTTTTAAATTAGGCAAATTTACACTTCCTTTAACCAAAATCACATTTTTATGTCTTTTGAATATCCTTTACCAGAAAGACTTCCTATATTTCTTATACACTTTGTATACAGAATCATTTCTGTTCTATTTAGTGGTTTTCATTACATATATTCATTAAAATGTTAACTCTTCGTAAGCCTAATTTTCAGTGCAATTTCTAGAAAGTAAGCAGTTTAAATACTATAGAGATGTGAAGACAACACATGGAGAATATGAATCTACCTAGCATGTCCCAGGGGCACAGTTGGGCCAGGGAGGATGTACTAGGCTGGCTTTCCTGCAGGTGATGGTCTAGGCCATCAGGCCTCACTGTGGCCTCTTATCTCGACCCTGAGAATCTGCATCAAAATCAAAGATACAAATTCATAGATAAATCAAACAGGTATCCAGAATATCACAGAAGAAACAGTTTTATGACCTTAAAACATCTAGAAGAGGCAGTCTAAACCTGCCTAGCCAGTAAACCCAAGGCAAAACGTCTGAATTATATTTAACACAATTCTGAATATATTCGTTTTATTTTACCAATAAATTTATAACTTGCTTTATTTACTGAAGATTACTAAGGTCATGTAAACTTGAAAAGCATTTGGGCTTATTTACTTAATTTATGAGCACTCATTTATTTATAAGTCCATTTGGTACCATGTAGGTAGTATACAAACACAGACATGTATACACATATGCATGAAATGCAGACAAACGAAGGTTTCATGGCTTCAGTTTTACATTTGAGCCATGAAAGAGGTAACTCGTTATTTAAAATGACAGTTGGATTCAAACTGCACAGCTGTAAATGAAACAAGTTAAAGTTTATTTGTCAGACCTGACTGAAGTCCTTAGTGAGTTTCAGAGAATAAGGTAGTAAATTTACTTGCAAATCACAGGGAAAGAATTTAAGCTTTCTAAAAGGCCATTTAAGTTTTAAATTATCCTTAGAAATAATCATGTCAGCAAAAGAGAAGCAGATTGAGGGAGTACATAGAGTTAGCAAGAGGAATTTAGTCAGCTGAGAAGCTTTTATAGAGAGCACAGAAGCCTAAAAATATTTGCATATATATATATATATATATATTATGATATTATATATATAATGATATATATATAATGATATTTATATATATATATATATATATAAAATATCAGCTTTTCATTAAGGTAGCTTTTGACTATCGAGCTTTTAAAAATATTTTTTCAAATATCTTGTCAGATTTCAGCCATGACAAACAACCAATATTCCTGCTTTATTCCTCTTTTAAACCAAATGTATCTTTTCAAGGGACTCACCAAAACCAGTAACCAACGTTATGCCTTAACCAGAGACTTAACAAGTATCTCCAAAATTGTGTAACACCAACCTCACCAAATCCAGAACCACCCCAAAGACAGCTTAATGAAAGAAAAGTTTCACTAGCTACAAGTGCATTACAACCCACATCTGTCCAGCCACATTCTCTAGGGTCTCAGCTTCTCAGCTGACTGTCTACATACAAAGTCCAGATGGGAGATTTAAAGCAAGCTTGTCCAACCCATGGCCCACGGGCTGCATGCTGATCAGGATAGCTTTGAATTTGGCCCAATACAAATTCATAAACTTTCTCAAAGCATTATGGAATTTGTTTTGTGACTTTTTTTTTAAAATAGCTCATCAGCTATCCTCTGTGTTAATGTATTTTATGTGCTGTCTGAGACAATTCTTCTTCTCCCAATGTGGCCCATGGAAACCAAAAGCCAGGACATCCCTAATTTAAAGAGATAGTCAGTAAAACAGAAAAACAAAAGCTGCTATGGGAGTGGTGCCAAAAAGTGAGAAAATGTGTGAAGGTATATTTATGGGAAACATAAAGTCTATTCCTAGGTTCTTTGGCTCTGCTGTTTCCCAGCTGATAAGCAAGTGTTGCAAAGCAGCCTATCTTTTGTTTGTTTGTTTGTTTATCTCACTTTTTAGCCCTTTATTGTTTGGAGTTACATCATAAACTTCTATCTTTTAATGATTTTTTTTGGACTTTAGGTTCTGGGGTACATGTGCAGATCATGCGGGATTGTTGCATAGGTACATACATGGCAATGTGGTTTGCTGCCTCCATTCCCCCCGTGGATGAATCTGGAAACCAACATTCTCTGCAAACTGACACAAGGGGCCTATCTTTAGATGGGAAAAGGCAGGCAGGAAACTCTTTGTCTTTGTAAATTGCTGTCCTGCCAACATCAGGCAGGGGAAGAGCAGAGTGTCCTGCTGCTCTTTAACCTTCTTTGCCTTAACAATCCCCAGTACTTTAAAAAGAAATATTTTGGTTTTCTTCAGTAGGAAAGATTAAAAATAGGAAGTCCCATTCTGTCATCAAGGCTGAAGTACAGTGGCATAATCCTGGCTCACTGCAGCCTTGACATCCTGGCCTCAAGCGATCCTCCCAGCTCAGCCTCCCAAGTAGCTGCAACTGCAGATGAACACCTCCACACCTGGCTGACATTTTACTTTTTGTAGAGATGGAGGTCTCACTATGTTGTCCAGGCTGGTCTTGAATCCCTGGTCTTGAGAAATCATCCCACCTCAGCCTCCCAAAGTACAGGGATTACAGGTGTGAGCCACCAGGCTTAGTGTCAAATTAATTTCTTATAAATATTTATCTAGTGAGAAAAAATTTGCGATAGGTCTAATGTCCTTTAACTGTCAAATCTGATCTTAGATGGAATGTTGCTTAGCTAATTTTCTGGATGTTAACATTTCAAAGACATGGTAAATTCTACATCTGCAAGACACTGAGAAAGTCTTGCAGGCAGTCTGGGCAGTTAAAGGACTTTTCTGGGAAAATAAAGGAGAGATCTCTTAAAAAGATAAGTAAAAAGGGAGGAAGAAAATTGGTACAAATAGACAACTGAATTGGTAGAAAGCTCATGTTGAGGCAGCAGAATGGAATGAATGAATCAGTTCACATAGAAGGCAATTCTTATTGTCATTCCACAAAAGGGAAAAGCTAAGCAGGGCATTCAAGTTGAATCAAAGCTACCAGTCACCGAGAAAGACAAAAGATTGCAAAACAATAGTCTGAGGTCTAATGCATATGATCACCCATGTTGTAAGTTCGAACATAAGTTTGCTCATATAAAAGACAATGGTTAGATCTAATGCAGGCTAGGAATCACACTGTGCTCTATCTAATGGCGTGGCATCTCAATGGGCCACTTAAGTTCCAGTGGTGTTTTGATATCTGCACGGTGCTTTCAGTTGTGTTTTGTCATTTAATCCTCTCAAAACTATATTAATCAGATAATATCATCCTCTTTATCTAAAAGAAACAAAGGTTCAGAGAGATTTAGGCAACTTCCAAAGGGTCAGACAGTGAGACAAGGGTTCGAAATTCAAAGTCAGATCTTTCTCTGACATAAAAATGGTGGTATTTCTCCTCCTTCACAGTCCTCTCTCCCTGTTTATTCAACTGAGTCAAAAATATTCCATCAACAAGATTAAAAGGCAAACCATAGCTTGAGGTAAGTGATTGGTGACATAGATAGTATATGACACATTTTTGTTTGCATTCTTACAATGTACTTCTTGGTACCAATAAGATAAAAGGCAAACAAAGCGGAAAAATAAGTAAATGAGAAAAACAGACAATTTAAAGAAAAAAATGTAAATATTCAGAAATGTACTAAAACATGCTCCAGCCAGATTCTCTAGGGTCTCAGCTTCTCAGCTGACTGTCTACATACACTCTCTCACAGTAATGATTGAGAAGATGCAAATTGATAATGTAATGCTACATCATTTCTTGCCTATCAATTTGGCAAAGATCTAGATGTTTACTAATATGCAGTGCTGACATTTATATAATATTTGGATTTCAGATAGCATTTTGGCAATCAGATAAAAGAAAGATGATTTTTTTTTAAAATCAATTAGAAAGCAGCCCGTGGGGTATTTTCTACTAACCAACACTAAGAACTTGTCTTGAAAGAGAGGGAGGGTTTGCCTTTCACCAGAGCAGATATGCTTATATATCAAGATTCTGGGTAAGCGTTCATTAAAAAAGATCCCCAGCTCTCTCTAATGAGGAGCCAAAGCTGTGAACCATGCTCCTAGGCAATAAGCCCTACAGAAATACACAAGAGAAAGAAATCACTTCCAGTCTGGGGCGGTCAGATGCCACCTTTGATTTTCCGTCACTTATTGCAAAAGACTTTATGTTCTTTTTGGAAAGTGTCTGTGTATGAGTTTATTATTAACAAAACAACATATTTGTATTAAAAAGTAGTTCATTTTAAAAACAAAAATGCCCCCAGTATCTTCTGTCAGGCAAAACGAATAAGAAAAAGAGGAGGAGGAGGGAATCAGGGGGAAGAGAACACAGGATAAAGAAAAACAAAAGTGTCGGAAAATCCCTGTTGTGTTCAACAGGAACATGTGCACTGTGGGACACTGTTTCGGTTTTAAATCTTTACCTCTAATTGTCTATTGTCTGAGCCTGGATCTACCAATCTGTTTTGAAGTTTCAGTGGGGGAAAAAAAAAAAAAAAAAAAAAGATGTCAATGTGAGGCCCCTACGTAGGGAACATCTGTTTTTCTCTTTTTGCCTAGCATTTATTCTGCCTTTTTCTGGGAAGAAAACCTCAATTTACTTTTAAAGATCCTCCCAGTCCTTTAAGCATATGATTGCAGTGACATTAAGCTTCCCTTGTTGGCCCATGCTCCCAGGACTCAGAACCTCTACATTCTTTTTGCAATCTCTGGAAATAAATCAAAGTTAAGAGAGACTTCGCAATAAGCAGAAGGCTCAGGTTTCCAACACCCGCAGTTATGTTCTCCTGCTCTCCTCTCTGTGTCGGCTCTATCCTTCACTGTCTTGTTGCGGACCCATTTCGCTAGTGCACATGGTAACCTGCTGCCAGTTCCTGCAGTTTGTATCTTATAACTCAAATATCCAATGAGAGATCTTTACTCAGATCTATCCCCAAATTCCCAGAAACAGACAGTGATTGGTCTCACTTGAATCAGACTCCCAGCCCAGTACCAGACAACTTTAGCTACAGCCACATTGTAGAGACGGGACCTTAACCCCTTCACGGGCAGACTGGAGTGGCTCATTTCACTCAGGCTGCAGTCCATGGACGGTTAAGTGTTAACAGCTCAGAAAAGAGTCAGGGTGACAGCTGCATGTACCGGCCCTTGTTAACACTGGAGTTCCTGTTTGGAGTCCAGGAAGAATCAGGTCACAGGAACTATTTGAAGGGAAGTGTATGCGGAGATTTTATTGGGCAATAAAAGTGGCTCTCAGCAGGATGGGAAATTTGCAAGGGGATGGTGTGGGAAGAAAATTACCTTTCCCTGAAGCTGCACTGTCTGAAGTTAGCCATCCATAGTCTCTGATGCTCAGCTGCATGTACTCCCAAGGCTCAGCAGCTTGTATCCCTGACCAACCACTTGTATCTGTTGCTTGTGTTGCTCTGCCGGCTGAAGTCATTTTATAGTTACGGGATAGGAACATGGCAGGCCAAAGAGGCAATCATTTGGGCAGAAAAACATGGTCAGCTGTTTTCACTAGGGCCCAGGTTTCAGGCTTGAGGATGGGATTTAGCCAGGAACCCAGCCATTCTCTATCACTGTGACATCACGGCCACCATGCTCACGGCAACTGTGTTGGTGAGGTTTGGAGAGGAAGGGCCCATTCTCAGGAAAGAGAGTGCCAGAAAAACAAGTACGTCGGTGCCCAACACAGGAAGAAGCCTGGAAATAGAGTGCTACTTAAAGCAAAAGAAGGAAAACACCGAGATCGCTTCAAAGAATACTGGACAGTGGTTAACAGTAACAAAGGCTGCAGAGCACTCCATTCCTCAAGCGTTGACAGGAGTCCCTGGATTAGGCAATGAGGCAGGAGTGTTTTATGTGAAGTGATGGGAAGAAATCCAATGACCACATCCAAGAGGACAAGAATGCTCAGAGCAGAAGTAGAAGGGGCATGCGAAGATTTGACAAGAGTGCTATCAAATTAATTTTTGTTATTGTTAAGGAATGACCGTGATCACAATCTAATAATGTCTTCACTTTTTAATCATTGTTTTTCTACTGTCTGACGCTGGTGCTGCCACTAGCTGATGCTGGGGAAACAATTGCAGTCCTTGGTTTTTTGGTGATTCAGAAACTCCTACATGATCTTAGTAAATTATGTCTTTTGGCAGTCTCAAGAATACAGGCAATGACTGCAAGAGATGCTCACCACGAAATTCCTGTACCCATCGATAAATTTTATTAACAATGTCAAGTTTGTTCAATTCTTTTAACAAATAAAATTTCTTCACGTTTATAAAAGTTTATCCCTCCCTATAAGCCCTCTGTTCCCTATCTGTCTGGCTGCAAAAATCTCTTTGTGGAGATTTTTCGGAGGTCTGCATAGATGGTTAAGATGACTTTTCTCTTTTATCCTAATTCTGCATCTCTGAACATGCCCAGCATGATAAAGACAACACCACAACAGCGTATCACAATTGTTCATGCACTCACCTGACTCAGGAGTGTTGTATCGGCCATGTCAGGAACCATCACAGCCATTGCAGAATCTCAGGTATGAGGTGTGGGGTGGGGTGCAGGGCACAAAGCATTCCTGGAGGACAGCTCTGCACTTCTCTTCCCAAGCTGACCTGCCTTGCTTGGCTATTTGCATACTCATAGGAAAACACCTGTGGTGTGAATACAACTAAATAAGATGCCTCAGCTCCAAGGACCTGTCAGGAGCTGTGTCATATTCTCTCTGCTGCACTGAGCTTTCTCTCAACACCTGAAATACCTTCTTTCTGTCATCCTCCAGCTGGCCTCACCTAGTGGGAGAGACAGATCAGGGCTCAGCCCCGTCGATTCTCTTCCTTTCTGCTATAGTAAAGGTGTCAAGGAGCTAGAAGAACAGATGGGATTTACCCAGCATCTCAGTTCAGCACATGAGAAATATTATAAATGAAACAAGGGTGCTAGAGGAGAAGGTGCTTCAGTCTCAGATTGGAATATTTCAGGCCACATTTGGGTTGCGGCCATGCAGAAAAGAGTGTGGGCCAGCTCTTTCTAGAAATAGTGGATGCAGAAAAGGAAAGAGAAAGGAAGATTAGCAATAGCTTGTGCTCACCAAATGAAGCATGTGCTAAACCCTGGCTCTCTGGAGAGTAAGTTGGTATTTACATAGAGAACAAAGACAATAGCATTGGCTCGGACTGGGTGAAATGGGCAAGCTGGGCAAGAACACTCTTGGTAACCTGTTTAAGAGCGTTGACGCCTCTGCTCTCTCCATGGGAGAAGTTATGGGGTGTTTTGGTCAATAGCACAGACACCAGAGCCCAGTTCCACATCTCACCAGTTGTATAATCTTGGACAATTTATTTAAACTATTAACCTTTACCTTCATCATTTAAAATTCAAAAATTAGAAGTCCTACCTGATAGGGTTATTGGAAAAGTTAACATATAAAGTGTTTAACACAGTATTTAGCAGATGTTCAATAACTAATTACCATTATCTAGAGGGTTTCCAGGTTTCAGGATGTCTAGAAATTGCTGTTTTAATTGTAGTAAGTTCTTTGTTTGTTTGTTTCTTTGTCTTATGTCACCAGCTGTGTTTCTGGTGGGAAGTTGGAAAAAAATGAAAGAGAAGATACTATATACTAGTTATAACTATATTTAATTGGCAGCCTCCAAGAAAATTATTCTTATTACAGTTTTAATTTTACCGCGTTTAATTACATTCTGATTTGTAGCAACTTTATCATACAAAACAGCATATCTCATATATCCAGTTTTTCTTTTTGGAGGACTGGGGGTGCAGGAGACACGGTCTGGTTCTGTTGCCCAGGCTGGAGTGCAGTGGTACAATCATAGCTCACTGCAGCCTCAATTTCCTGGGTTCAAGCGATCCTCCTGCCTCAGCCTCCTAAGTAGCTAGGACTATAGACACATACACCATGCCTGGCTAGTGTTTTTCATTGTACATTTTGGAGAGACAGGATCTCATTCTGTTGCCCAGGCTGGTTTGAACTCCCAGCTCAAGTGATCCTCCTTTCTTGGCCTCCCAAGTGCTAGGATTACAGGCATGAACCACTGGGACCAGACCCTAATATTCTACAGGAGAGCACAAAACAGGCTACTCCTATGGAAAACACCTTGTCACAAAGGTTTAATGCACTGTCAAATATTATGTTCAATGTTTTTTTTTTTTTTGAGACGGAGTTTCGCTCTTGTTACCCAGGCTGGAGTGCAATGGTGCAATCTCGGCTCACCGCAACCTCCGCCTCCTGGGTTCAGGCAATTCTCCTGCCTCAGCCTTTCGAGTAGCTGGGATTACAGGCACGTGCCACCGTACCCAGCTAGTTTTTTGTATTTTTAGTAGAGACGGAGTTTCACCATGTTGACCAGGATGGTCTCGATCTCTTGACCTCGTGATCCACCTGCCTCGGCCTCCCAAAGTGCTGGGATTACAGGCGTGAGCCACCGCGCCCAGCCCATGTTCAATGTTTTTAAAGCCTTCAGTAACATTTAACCTTCCAGAACCTCCAACAATGCCTGTAGTCTGGCAACTGGTCTGTGCTTTGCTCCACCATCTGTGTGGATTCTCTGGCTCTTCTGAGCACAGCTCTGCCTGCCTCATCAACCCCGTCTCCAGCCACTCTGTCTGGCTCTCCATAGTTCAGGGACGTTGACCTTCCTTGTTATTAAATCTCTACCAGCCAGTCCTCTCTCAGGGCTTGCACACATACGACCTCCTCTGCCTGGCACACAATTTGCCCTCCTTTTGAGGCAAGTTTACCTAGCGTTAGATCCCAGCTTCGGTGCCCCCTTCTCAGGGACACCTCTCATGTCCCAGACTGAACCTTGTCTCCCTCCTAAATATTTTCACAAGCACCCTGCATTTTTCACTACAGACCTTATCACAAATGCATTTCAATCAATATTTATGTAATTTTCACTTCAAAACCATCTTTTTGGTATTCTGCTATATTCTCAACGTTTAGCCCCATACCCGTTCAATAAATATGAACTGGGTGAATAAGCGAGAAAGCAATATTTGAGAAGCCAGTGCTGTTTCACCTCAAAGCTGGTGCTCAGGCTCTGGGTCCAGTTAAGCTGGGTCTGGAAATACAGCTTTGCCATTTGATTGTTTTATGGCCTTGAGCAAGAAACAAAACATCTCTAAGCCTTAGTTGTTTTTCTTTTCTGTAATATGGGGACAATATATTACCCTCACATAAAGTTATTGTGAGATATAAATTAGATTGTGTTATGTTCACAAATACCTATTATAGTGCCAAGTGGTACATAGTAAGCACTCAATAAAATATAGCCAGTGCTCAAAGTTCACAATCATTAAAATTGAAGTGGAATATAAATCTAAATATGTCCACAAGAAATGCCACACATGCATCACTAAAACTCCCAAAATTGAAGCCTTGGCAGAGCCAATGTCCATGGCAGACCAAGTTTTTGTCAGTGCTGATAGAGTATAACCTTTCTTGATATGATGCAGTAAGATTGACTGCTGCCTTTTCAAGGGTAGCAGAGAGGTGAGATGTTATTCAGGTTGTAGTACCAGGTAGTACTCCCAAGAGAGCCTCTGGCTTTCTAAGTAGAGCCAAACCCTGACCACCAGTTAAACTGTTTACAGCAATGGATGGTGTCTCTCCTGCGGTGAGGGCTCAGAGAACCTCACAATTATCACCTCAGCAACCTCTAGTCACCAGTTGGGATTAGAAAGGAGAATGTTCCAGAAACATCCTGGTCTAGATGCACACATCAACTTCACTTCTAAGTATAAAATACATGGAACCACACCATACCCAGGAATTTATACAGTCTAGTAGGCCTCGTGAATACCTAGCTCGAGGAATCCAGCCTTTCCAACTTACCCGTTTCAGATGTGATTTCTGCTTTACAATTGCAAAACAAAATTGTTTTAAAAATCTATTTAACAAACTTTCATTTGTTTACACGTTGTTGAAAATTGTGGTGAACCAAAACGAGTACCAAGTCCTTTAGAATGCGATTTCTGGAGAGCTTTGAAGAAAACAGCTAGTTAATATGTTATGGGAGTCATCTATTGTCACCAAGTGAATTGATTTTGTCTTATAATTTCAAGCGGGACATGCAAGAGAAGACCATGACTAAAAGCAAGATTCACTCAGGCTGAGACGTCTTAGGAGAAGACCTTCTGAGCCGTTTTTTCCATCATTATGGAGCACAAAACACTATACAAAAGGAAGTTTCACAGTGAGGATAGTTTCAGTGTTTGAAACCACCTAACAGGGTGTATTAATCTGTTTCATACTGCTGATAAAAACACACCCAAGACTGGGCAATAACAAAAGAAAGAGGTTTAATGGACTTACAGTTCCACATGGGTGGGGAGGCCTCAGAATCCTGGAGGAAGGCAAGGGGGAGAAAGTCACATCTTATGTGGATAGCAGCAGGCAAAGAGAAAGAGCTTGTTCGAAGGAACTCCTTCTATAAAACCATCAGATCATATGAGACTTATTCACTATCACCAGAACAGCTTGGGAAAGACTTGCTGCCATGCTTCAACTACCTCGCACTGGGTCCCTCCCACAAGACATGAAAATTCAAGATGAGATTTGGGTGAGGACACAGCGAAACCATATCACAAGGCATCAGTCTGTTTGGTCTGCTACAACAAAAATATCATAAACTGGGTGGCTTATAAACAACAGAAGTTTATTGCTCATAGTTCCAAAGGTTAGGAAATGTAAGTGCTGGCATATTTTAGGTCTGGTAACAGCTTGCTATCTGCTGCACAGACGCACTCACCTTCTTGCTGCATCCTCACATGGCAGAAGGGGCAAACAAGCTCTCCTGGGCATCTTTTATAGGAGCACAAATCTCATTCAGCTTCAGAAGGCCCCACCTCTCAACACCACCACATTGGGGATTTAGTTTCAACAGGTCAATTTTGGGGGAACACAAACATTCCCACCACAGCACAAGGAATGAAGAAAATCAGCTTTGCTATTGAATTGGTGCTGAGAATAAGATGATCAGCCAGGGATTAGAGTTGTTGACCCCCTGACCCCTTGAATCTACATGGGGACACATAATCAGGCCTTGCCAAAGATAAATGAGTAGAAGTGCTACTTATTCCTTTTGTTCAAAGGCAGTTAAGATGAGGATGTGTTTTCCTCATCTTCTATTTCCTCATCTATCAGCTAGTTGCCAAGAACTCTGACACCCAAGAGGAAAGGGAAACCCTAAGTTCAGAGGCGCATGGGTTCTCTTCTTGTTGTCTGGAGAATGTCACCTCTGGACTGGGAATATCCACATTATACTGTTTCATGAGCAAGAAATAGATTTCTATCGTCTTAAAGCACTGAAATATTGTATTTTGTCATAGCAGTTAATATTGGCCCAACTAATTCATTTAAAAGGCCAGAAAAGTATGTTTTTCAGAAAATTCTGAGATCTTAAAGTCATACCAAGAAGTGGAAACATGTGCACCTGAGTGAGTGTGACTCCAAAGCCTGTAAAACAGCAACCCCATGTCCAATATCCAATAGAATTTATTGCAGTCTCATGCCCGTTCTTCTACTTGCCAAAGTGATTTCTCTGGTGCTTTCAATTTGGACACGTTTTGGTACTCTGATAACGTTCTGAGGTAGTACCAAATGCTAGTTTGAGATGCTCTCTAGTTTTGACACTTGTACTTGCTGATTGTTTGCCTGAAATACTGTTTCCTTGAATTCGTGCCCTTGCAAGGACATTTGGGCCTACACAGTCACCACCTGTAAGCTCATTGCTCCTTTTCCAGTGCATGGAAGGTGTAATGTATGCAATAGCTAACTCTTCACTGAACAGCATGCTAGAAAGCCATACCTCTAATGCTCCAAAACATTCAAAACAAATGAATTGAAGGCAGATGAAGCCCTTAGCAATTCTCAGAAGCAGCCAGAACTTGAACACTGAGAGCTTAGTCCAGTCACAGGATGGGTTCCATGCCACAACTGAAGTTAGAGTAAATTTTGAAGAGGAGTTTCAGTTGATTAAACCAATGGTGGTCATTAGAATCAACATTGTTATTATTCTTATTTTACATGACTTAGAAAGTATGTTTAAGTTTAAAACTGGGTTTTGACAGTGGCACTCTAAACTCATTTCTCGTGTGATTATAATGTACACTAACACTTGAGAATTCCTGCATTAAGCTGTAAATTGTTCATGCATATGAATCCATGGAAAGGTTGATGCAAAAATATAAATGAAAGTGTTCTAAAGTTAAATAGGAACTGGAGAGATACAGCTTTTTAAAAAGGAAAAAGCTTACATATCATCTGACAAAAGGAACCTCCATTTCAGGTCCTGTCTTTGTGCCATAGTTTTGCCCAGATATCTTAGTCACAGGAAGGCAGTATGCTCCACTGTAGGTCCTGGTCTTAATTGGGCTAATAAAATTCTGCAAAACAGGCACTGCACCTCTGAGGCAGTACTGGGTCCATGATGGTGATGGCATGAGGAAAGAATATATTCAGGGAAAGCGAAAGATGGAGGATGTGGTGCCGTCCATCATTTGTGGACACATTTCTACCACCTGGTGCCAAGTTGGTCTCATAGACTCTCCACTTAGAAATCTCAGTGCTGGCAGAACAGAAGTCACTAAGAACAACAGGTTTGGATTTCTGGGTCTCAAACAGAAAAATCCATACTTCTGTAAGTATAAATGAGATACTTTATTTTTTTTTTCTTTTTCTTTTTTATTTTTTGAGACGGAGTTTCTCTCTCATTGCCTAGGCTGGAGTGCAATGCACGGTCTCAGCTCACTGCAACCTCTGCCTCCCAGATTCAAGGGATTCTCCTGCCTCAGCCTCCCAAGTAGCTGGGACTACATGTGCCCACCACTGTGCCTGGCTAATTTTTGTAGTTTTAGTAGACACAGGGTTTCACCATGTTGGCCAGGCTGGTCTCGAGTTCCTAACATCAGGTGATCCACCCACCTCGGCCTCCCAAAGTGCTGGGATTATAGCCACACCCGGCTTAAATGAGATACTTTCATTTATATTTTTTAATCAACCCAACTGCAGAGGATTGGTCTAAAAGAAAGACTTCACCTTCCAAATGCAAAGTACTTAACTATATGTAATAATATATGTGTGCGTATGTGTACAATAGGTACTTATATATTTTATAATATATGTTATATTTTCTTATATATATCTGACTCACCCTTCCAAAAGGGTTTGAAGTAGTGTTTTAAAAAGGTTCTTTTCTAATCCTTGAAATTCACTGAGAATTACTGCCCTCTCTATTCTCCTGGCTAACACTCTAAACACACCGTAATATCAAGGGACATGTGTAATAGAGAATAAAGAATCCATTTCAAATTTTCAGGTTATATACCAAGACGTCCTTCATTTTTTTTTTTTCTCTTCAAATTAGACTCACTAAAATATCACTGCCACTGAATATGAGCTTTTACTTTTAACATTCACAAGTGATGTCAAAATTCTTGAGATATATGCGTCAGTCTGTCTTGGATCCTGGAAATGGAAATCAAGGGCCTTCTTCTGTTGCATAGACACCACCCACACCCAATATTTATTTTCAATATCTCTTCCTTGGGAGTCAATTGCATGCAATTACAATAGACTATTTATCACATTTCCTGGTCTTCCACGCCCCTCTGCTACCCGCTCCCTTCAGTTGTACTTCTCCCTAAAAACTGAAGGCCCAAAGCTTGCCTCTAAGTAGAGATGATGTAGTCCCAGAATTACCATCATGTGTCCTAATGAAGTGCATTGATCCCTCTTATTCCTCTCCCCAGGCACTCCATCATCACCTGTGTTCATTTATAAGCATATTTACATATTTTCAACAACCCAGGTGAGCTTTGGAGACATTCCTCTGTGTGATGAAATATTCAGAGAAACAGTGACTTATCCCGTGGACAGGCGCAGGGTGAGTGCCACTTGGAAGAACACCACGTTCTTTCTGGGTGAACTACTGTGTCAAGGAGCCAGGGACACAGCTGAGGGTCACTCGCCAGGGCCAGTAAAAGACAGCATCAAAGGAGCGATCTGAAATGTGCAGAAGAATCGATAATCATTCTTCAAAATGAGGCCTTTTCAAACATGGCAAATGTCACTAGCTCTTGGCAACACTACTCAGGATTTATTCTCTCAAAAAGGGCACTACCACAGGGCTGGAATAAAAAGCCGTGGTATGCTATTCTTTAAAATGGCAAAATGACAGAAAAGCAGCATAAGAATTCAGACCTAGATGTAAATTAAATGTGCATAATTCCTTAAGACATTTTGAGTCATCTCTTCCTAAAGGCTGTGCTGCAGAGTTCAGCATGGGTCAGGGTGGAGGCGCCTGGGGTGAAGGAAGTCAGCAAAACCTAAGTGTTCTCCCTCACTTTCACATTCCAGTTTCAAATGAATCTCAAAAAGTGTTTATTTCTTATTTACTCAACTACTTCTGTCTTACATTCTGCAATTCAGGTTTTTTAAAGCCAGAAAACCAGTTCCTTTCCCTGACTTCTCCCTGTGTCTTCTCCCTGTTTGAGCATGTTGATCTCTCTCTGATTACTCCAGGGTCTCCTTCATTTGACTCCACATCAAGCCACCTGGGCTACTGTGATGGCCTAGCCTCTAATTCCCCATCTCTGGATTCTCCTTGCCTCCATGCCCTTGTCATGTTTACACCAGAATAATGCAACTGACACTTACATCTGATTGTACCATGCTTCTACTTTAAACAACACTGATGACTTTGGAGAATTCTCTACAAAACAGACTTTGAACATCTTGTGTTGCATTCGACATTCTTCCCAGCATAGCTCGAATCTGTTTTTTTCAGCCAATATCCTGTATCGAACCCCAAATCCCTATCATATTATTAAAGCTACCCCCACGAATATACCATGCTTCAATTTAGGTTGTGCCTCTTCACAGCCACCCACATGGGAGGAACTTGTACTCATTCTTCAAATGCCAATGTCTATAAAGTAATACTTTAAAGCAATAGAAAGAGTGACAGGTGCACACTGCACAGGGATGGATCTCACAGACAAATGCTGAGCTGAAGAGAGAACATATCATATGAGTTCATTTATATGAAATTCAACAACAGGCAAAAATAATCCAGTGATAAAATAGTAGTTATCCCCTGGAGGTAGGGGGAAGGGGCACAAGAAACCCTCTTGGGAGATGAAAATGTCTCATCCAATAATTTGATCTGGGAGGTAATTACATGGGTAAACACATATGCAAAAACTTATTGAGCTGTGCAATGAAGAAATGTCAACATTATTGTATCTGTGTTATACCTTGCTTAAAAAGAAAACAAAGGGCCGGGCGCGGTGGCTCAAGCCTGTAATCTCAGCACTTTGGGAGGCCGAGGCGGGTGGATCACGAGGTCAAGAGATCAAGACCATCCTGGTCAACATGGTGAAACCCTGTCTCAAAAAAATACAAAAAATTAGCTGGGCATGGTGGCGCGCGCCTGTAGTCCCAGCTACTCAGGAGGCTGAGGCGGGAGAATTGCCTGAACCCAGGAGGCGGAGGTTGCGGTGAGCCGAGATCGCGCCATTGCACTCCAGCCTGGGTAACGAGCGAAACTCAGTCTCAAAAAAAAAGAGAAAAAGAAAAAAAAAGAAAACAAATACCAACAAATCAGTTACCTCATTGGAGACATATTTTTAACACCACAACCTCTGCCCACAAAATAACTCCCCTCTCCTTTGGATCCCCACTACCTATTGTAGCACTCATAATTGCAACAGATAGTCCCCATCTGTGTCTTTCTTGCTGTTACCCTGTGACATCTTTATAAAAAGGGGTTGGGTAGTATTTTTCTTTTCATCCCAGCTCTTAACACAACATTTGGTCAAATGTTGCTGAATAAGCTCTGATAAGAAATCACAGATAGAACTGAATTGTCCCCTTGCAACTATGGGGTCATTTCTGCTATAAATATCTCTTAGCATGCTGTGTATCTCTGAACAGGCAGAATTCTAACCTGAAGTCCTCTGCCGCTCGGCAGACTGCGCCGTTTTCCCATTAACAAGCTGAGAGAAGGCAAATCATTCCCACTACATGATGATGGGTGGAGCATGCTGTGCCAGGCCGAGAGAACACACAGTGAGTCTTGTCAGCTGCATGAACATGAAACTGGTTAGTTGTTTAAAGAAGGCAAAATTAATTTGTAGCTGTCAGTCAGTTTAGATTTGCTTCACTTCTGAAATTTATTGACAGGCCCTAATAACCAGCACTTGTCTTTTCTGGAAGTGAACAGCAAAAACTGAGAACTGGAAACATGGTGTTCCCCTCTGGTTCCCAAGCAAAACAGAAAGAGGCTATTGTGGTCATACCGTTTTTATACCATTTTCAAATTCTAATAGATGATTTTCTGTTGGAAGTTTCCCAAATTAGCTTGCTGGTTTTTCTTTATTACTGCAAGGTTATTATAGTCTGAGTGTTTTGGCAAAGTTTACAGCACAGAGTGTGGGGGGGAAAAAAAGAACGGTGATTGCCTACAATAAAGAGGGTGTTGAAGACTCTGATTCAACGATTTTATTGAGGGACTTCTGTTTATGGACACTTGATATATTTCAATTCATTTAAGCCTCACAACAATGTTGTGAAGACGGGATTTACGAGGGCTAATTTACAGATGAGAAAATGAGACTAGAGAGGTCAAAGAATTTCCCAATATCATATAGTAAATGCTAAAGGCAAAACTTAGATTCATACATCTTACACTAAATCCTATGATCTTTCTTTAAGTATCTGGTTAGGTAATATTGTTATATATTGTTATATTGGGTAATAATGTTATAAATGTAGCTTTCAGGAAGGAACAAGTTCTTCCTTGGATTTCATGAAAACTCGTCACATCTGTTTCTCTATACTTCAGATAAGTGAGCACCGAGGCTGAGATACTCTGCATACCATTCAACTCAAGTCAATATTTAAGAATAGCGAATGAGGAGCAGATCCTTATTTATCTATGCATTATTTTTACACAATGGGAGTTCTAAGGAGAGAAGAGCACAGTCCTGGCCCTCAAGGAGCCCCCAGTCCATAATGAAAGAACTTGGCTATTTCCGCAAAGGTTTACAAAAAGAGAGGGATGGTATTAGTGTGATGATCTCTGCATTCATTACTTTAAGTAGAGCAAGAAGTAGCAGCTTCCTACAAAGTCACCTTGTGTATGTGTTTAACACTGGCTGTTGCCCTCATGGGTCATGAGTCCTTCAGGAACGCTAATGCTCTGCATGATCTTGGATCCCCAGGGATCAGCCATTTTTGTCTCCTAGGCTTCCTGCTCGAAGTTAAGACAGCACTTCAATGTGGAAGGAATTGAAGGAACAGATAATGCTTGATTGGCAGGGACTCACATGAATTAACCCATAAAATAATTCTCCTCTCCTTTGTGGGAAGGGAGCAGGATTTTGTTTTCTTCCTTCTCTGTGTAGGAAGAATTAAATGGGGAGAAGTTAGCTATAGATTAAAGCTATTCCATTCCACCAAGATTGATTTAGGACCCACTGGGTGCCAGGGCTGTGAGTTCCAATCTTTAAGGAGTTTAAATCTTTTGAGAGAAAGCAGACATAAATAATTGTCATGCAGTATGGAAACTACCAAAATAAAGATAGAGATGATATGTTATGGGAGCACAGAGAAGGTCACATAAAAACCTGCCTGGAGAAGCTAAGAAAATCCAGGCGAGGAAAATGGAAGAGAATCCCAAGATGACAGACCAACCTGTCACTGAAGAATGTGTCATGTGTCCAGAGTGACAGGAGCTTTGACACTGCATGACCACAGGCTTGTGTTGGTAGTGGCTTCAAATTGCCTTTCTGTTTGATGACTTTCTTTGGTTATTTTCATTTGATTGTTTTCTTGATTTTTTTAATATATGAAAAGGTAAATGATCTCATTTTAAAATAAAGTAGAACCCAGGATTGGAGCTCTTCTCGTTGAATCCGCAAACGGTGAGTCTGAGCTGCATTTCCAGACTGATCTTTGTTGCCCACAGAACGGGGAAACTCCCAAGTATAAAAAAGACACGGGACGCCAGGCAGTAGGTCTGCCTGGCGAAGCCAGCAGCCG